TCTGCCCCAGAGTAAAACTAGTCTTCCGTCCAAAGAAACCAGTTCCGTATGCAGCCTTGCAAATTGCCGATGCTTAACTGAAGCGCCTGGAGGAAATTGGAGTTCTTACACCTGTGTCCTATTCTGCTTGGGTTGCGCATATCGTTACTGATAAGAAGCCAAATATTTTGATTTTTATCTTCGCTGGTATTTTTTTCACTGGCCTTAATACCATTCTAACGCCGAACTGCCATCTACTGCCAGTCTCCGCCGTCCTATTCACCCTGTTGAATGGAAGCATCTGGTTGGCAATGTAAATATGGATTATAATTCAGTATATATAAGGGAGATAGGCAGAGTCGCTGAAAACCCTACTAACAGATAGGTGCTGTCAGATCATGCTTGTCGTTCAAAGTCACATATACACTATGTAGACCGTTGTTGTCTACCAAATGTATGACCAGCATGTAAAGTAAGATCAGGCCTTCTTTTAAATGCGCCGACGCTTTCAGCAAGAACAACTGAGAAAGGAAGGTTATTCCGAGCTTCAATGACCCGGTGGGAGAAGAATTTGGCATGCACTTCTAGTTTGGCATGGTGTTCCTTCAGTTTGTACGGATGAACGCGTAGATGTATCGTTTGTGCGAATTCAAAGAAGTCAGCGATCTGAAGAGCACAGTCTAGTCCCCTGACGAGTTTCAACACCACGATCATATCTCCTCTGTATGGCCTATAATAGAGAAGAAAAAGATTGAGCATATCTATCTGGGAGAACGCCTAAGCTGCTGGCTAGCTAGGTCGCCCTTCTTTTGGACTTTCTCAAGCATTGCGTAATCTTTCTTTATCCAGAGGCACCACGTCTGCACGCAGTACTCTAACATCGGCCGAACAAATGTTCCGAAGACTCGCCCAAAAATGTCCTCATTAAATTAGAGGACGGAGCTTCTGATCGCTCCTAGGATGCGCATAGCCTTCTTTGCGGTTTTAGCACAGTGAGTTGATGGTTTGAGGTTAGGCGTCATGCAGACACCTAGATCCCGTAGTTAAGTCACTTTAAGTCACTTTATTAAGGGAAGAAGGCTTTCGCCCTT